CACGCCGGCGGCCTTTACTTCCCAGGACTGCACCCGGTACCCACTCAAGGCTGGGTCGACCTGGGAGCCAAGGTCATTTTTTTTTAAAAGTCCGGCTTCCCCTGGGAGCGAAATTAAATGGTACTTAATTTATAACTTACCCCTGACGTCACGACTACGTCACGAGAGACATTCCCAATAAATTCTAGGGTGTTCAGGTTGTAGTTTCTCGCGATTTATCTACAGCCAAGTTAAGGGTTAGGGTTAGCATTAGAAGACACTAGATGAACACTCAAACAAAAACACCACACAACAGCACACTTGCACCCCTTGAAATAATGGACTGTCAGGTCAGCTGTGGATTTCCCATGGGGATTTCCTGTTTGGGGTACGTTATAAATTAAGAACCAATTAAATATTTGTAAAGAAGGGAAATCCCTGGGAGGTCCGATGGGTTTCCTGAGATGACGTAGTGGGTTATTCAGGCCAGTGAGAAACGGGTAAAGCAAGGGAAGTGATATCCACGTGTGAGACTAAACAGTGACACTTCACTGCAATGGCCTGTATCTCATACAGCTTTGGTACTCCTCAGCAGAACGGCTAGCCGCTAGTCGACAGTTCTCTTCCAGAAGCTATCTTCTAACGTAACTGTTGATACAATCTATATTTGAGCAAAGAAGACACAAACTTTAGATGCACAGTTTATTGCCTGGCATATTTCCCTGTATCTCGTCAGGTGAATACTACAGTAACAGTTACATAAATGAAGCAAATATGTGAATCTTTTATAACTGAAGAACAATTTCAAAAACGATCAAACATGACTGCTTGTTTTTACCAGGGCAGCCGTAAAAACAGAACCATCCCTTTCTGAAAACAGAGTTCCAGGCGCATGTGACGAATCACCGACGTTTGGAGAAACCTTAGCGTTCTGCCATTGGATTTGAAATGCATTATTTTTAGTCACCACGTTACCACATTTTAGAAGATGGCGCGCTATTGCAGAGGGGTGAACTCTGACGAGATACAGCGAAATATGCCAGGCAATAAATTGTGCAATCTATTGTTTGTGTCTTCTTTATTCAAATTTACAACGGGGAAACATTGCTTTGCTTTTTGAAACAATTTATATTATTTCAAAGATACACGTCTTCTTGTTCTTCTTCAACATTCACCGCCATTGAGGTCCAGAAATCATCCGCCCCCATTGATCTCTCCGACTGCCAATCTTTTTCCAGTCGGTGACTCCAGGTGTTTGTGGTGTTGTTGGGATATTATCTACCTATATTTTTCTTGGTGTGCCTCGTGGTCTTCGACCATTCAACTTCACTCTGTATAGAGTTCTGGTCTATCTGTCATCGCAATTCTCTGCATATGCTCCAGCCTTTACCTTATTATATCTTGGGAGTTTCCTTGGCGAAGTGGTCAAGCCGTTTGCCTCGCGCTCTAGAAGTCGTGGGTTCGCTCCACAGCTGCGCCCTTCAGTTCACGTGTGCAATTTTTACAGAGGTCCCTAGGGATTGTCGGTGGAGCTATGAAGTTCCCAGCTCTGCGCGGCGCTCTCGGCAGGCGGCTAGCTGTTCTGCGGAGAGAGACTGAGCCATATGGGATAAAACCGGGGGCAATAAAGTTGATCCTCTCGACTTTAACCTTGAACTTTATTCATATTTCTTCTTTTTTCCTTATCTGTCATTGAGTACATTATAATTCTTATCATCATCTTTATCGTCACTGTTATTACCTATTAGCTATGGAACCCCGCCCCCCCCCCCCCCCCCCCACCCCCCACGTCAATCAATATTTGCGAGAGGTCTCATGAGCCACACCCCCTCTCCCCTCTCTCCTCCTCCTCTCACCCAAAAGCTTCCTCGTGTTGGCGCCCATGAACCCGGATAACCGTTTCAGCTAGGGAACTTAATAAACAAATTTATCACACAAGCTAGCAGAGATGCGCTAGGCAAATTCAGAACGCGACACAACATGGTTTCTGTGAGAAGAAAACGATAGCAGCAATACAAGAAGCTGCAGCAGCGCTGTAGAAGACGAAGATAAGGACGAAGGAGGAAGAAGAAGAAGAAGAAGAAGAAGAAGAAGAAGAAGAAGAAGAAGAAGAAGAAGAAGAAGAAGAAGAAGAAGAAGAAGAAGAAGAAGAAGAAGAAGAAGAAGAAGAAGAAGACGAAGACGAAGACGAAGACGAAGACGAAGACGAAGAAGACGAAGACGAAGACGAAGACGAAGAAGAAGAAGAAGAAGAAGAAGAAGAAGAAGAAGAAGAAGAAGAAGAAGAAGAAGAAGAAGAAGAAGAAGAAGAAGAAGAAGAAGAAGAAGAAGAAGAAGAAGAAGAAGAAGAAGAAGAAGAAGAAGAAGAAGAAGAAGAAGAAGAAGAAGAAGAAGAAGAAGAAGAAGAAAGAAGAAGAAGAAGAAGAAGAAGAAGAAGAAGAAGAAGAAGAAGAAGAAGAAGAAGAAGAAGAAGAAGAAGAAGAAGAAGAAGAAGAAGAAGAAGAAGAAGAAGAAGAAGAAGAAGAAGAAGAAGAAGAAGAAGAAGAAGAAGAAGAAGAAGAAGAAAGAAGAAGAAGAAGAAGAAGAAGAAGAAGAAGAAGAAGAAGAAGAAGAAGAAGAAGAAGAAGAAGAAGAAGAAGAAGAAGAAGAAGAAGAAGAAGAAGAAGAAGAAGAAGAAGAAGAAGAAGAAGAAGAAGAAGAAGAAGAGAAGAAGAAGAAGAAGAAGAAGAAGAAGAAGAAGAAGAAGAAGAAGAAGAAGAAGAAGAAGAAGAAGAAGAAGAAGAAGAAGAAGAAGAAGAAGAAGAAGAAGAAGAAGAAGAAGAAGAAGAAGAAGAAGAAGAAGAAGAAGAAGAAGAAGGAAGAAGAAGAAGAAGAAGAAGAAGAAGAAGAAGAAGAAGAAGAAGAAGAAGAAGAAGAAGAAGAAGAAGAAGAAGAAGAAAGAAGAGAAGAGAAGAAGAAGAAGAAGAAGAAGAAGAAGAAGAAGAAGAAGAAGAAGAAGAAGAAGAAGAAGAAGAAGAAGAAGAAGAAGAAGAAGAAGAAGAAGAAGAAGAAGAAGAAGAAGAAGAAGAAGAAGAAAGAAGAAGAAGAAGAAGAAGAAGAAGAAGAAGAAGAAAGAAGAAGAAGAAGAAGAAGAAGAAGAAGAAGAAGAAGAAGAAGAAGAAGAAGAAGAAGAAGAAGAAGAAGAAGAAGAAGAAGAAGAAGAAGAAGAAGAAGAAGAAGAAGAAGAAGAAGAAGAAGAAGAAGAAGAAGAAGAAGAAGAAGAAGAAGAAGAAGAAGAAGAAGAAGAAGAAGAAGAAGAAGAAGAAGAAGAAAGAAGAAGAAGAAGAAGAAGAAGAAGAAGAAGAAGAAGAAGAAGAAGAAGAAAGAAGAAGAAGAAGAAGAAGAAGAAGAAGAAGAAGAAGAAGAAGAAGAAGAAGAAGAAGAAGAAAGAAGAAGAAGAAGAAGAGAAGAAGAAGAAGAAGAAGAAGAAGAAGAAGAAGAAGAAGAAGAAGAAGAAGAAGAAGAAGAAGAAGAAGAAGAAGAAGAAGAAGAAGAAGAAGAAGAAGAAGAAGAAGAAGAAGAAGAAGAAGAAGAAGAAGACAACAACAACAAAAAACCTATAAGTCTTCAATAAATAAAACAACATACGCTGTGTTGTTTTGCGCACACCGAGAATAAGCACAGCACAAACTGTATGTTGTGTCAGACAGAAAGTGCTAATAGGGACCACACAAACCGGATGTTTACAAGAGCGAACAGCACAACAATCAGGTACCTGTTGACTTCAAACAACTGCCAGCTAAACAGGATTATCCATTATCTGATGCCATCTGTTGTCCCGGCCAGGCAAACAAGTGTTGTTTTTGCAACCACAGTCATAAGAGTGCGGAGCCGCCAAGGTGTAGCACCCAGATCTTGTTAGCGGACCGGAAGGTTATGGGTTCAATTCCGAACGGTGCTAGACTTTTTTTTTAAACCTTGGCTTCAGGGTCGACGTAGCATTAAATAAGTACCAGGTAACGGTCATAGGAAGTAAAGGCGGCCGGCGTGATGCTGACCACATCACCTAACAAGTGGCGATTGATCTATACAATATTCCTTCCTTCCTTTGCGTTCACCAGACTGTAAACTCAGGCGGAAAGTTCCTGATGTTCGTCCACCACCAGACTTTAGTCTTGTTCCAGAACCCGAGTGCTGCATGCACATATGTTTCACACATCTGGCTTATTTGTATGCAGACTCTTGGTTCCTTGCCTCTCAGGAAGTACTCTGACTTCAAAGGATGCATCCAATTAGTGGACACACGGAGCTTTTAATAGCTCGAACAAAATAGGGAATTCTAAATTGTATAGTTACTATTTGCAATTGTAATGTTATTTTAGTATGTCAATTCTAATTTTATTTCAGTATTTCAATTCTTCCGCTGTACACACATGCCGTGATTGTAACTGACTCACAGAGTACGCTGAGAAAGGTGAAGACAGGCATGCTTCGTGCAGAGTGGCAAGCATCACTTCAGAGGTCCCAAGTAATTAGAATCATTTGAATAATTTATCTAGGTAATGCTGATGTGTTGGGAAATGAGAAAGCAGACAGACTAGCCGGCTCAGCACCACTTGGAGGTGAACTGATGTATGACAAGCTGGATGTTGTGAGGGCCCTTTGGGAGCGAGTGAACAGCGCGGAGACACAAACAGATCCTGACTGACTAAGGAGAATGGCGATGAGAGGGGTTACCAGGGGATCTGGCCGACGCTCAACACCCAGAAGAAGGATGAGACGGATAAACAATCAGACGGTTACTGGTGCTATCGGAATTGGAACACTTAGCTCGCTGCTGAAGATGGGTACGGAGCACTTATAGGAGTGTCCCGGGTGCTGTGATGTCGATTCTTAATTCAACATTCAATTTTAACGTTAATTCAAATCTAATGTTATTTTAGTATTTCAATTCTAACGCTATATCAGTATTTCAATTCTTATGTTATTTCGAAGAAAAAAGAACGAGTCGACTAACAGGGCGCTTCATTCGAAGTCGAAGC